AAACCGCTTTGGGTCAAGTTTTCGATCCAAGAAGCCAGCCTCCATGGCCGGTGATGGAAAAACATGGCAGGGCACCGAGACTGTAGCACGGAGCCAGTGTGCGGCAAGCCATGCCAAACCCTCAACTGCAAGTCCGCATCTCTGACCCGACCCTGCGTAGATTCCGGTAGATTAGGAGCAGGTCATCCTGAACCTGCAAAAACCAGAAGATCTGAACCCTAAAGAATCACGGCAACAGGCTACCAGCGTCCTCTACCACGCTTGCTTCCTCAGCTTTCCGGCCCGGCTTCTGAAGCTTTCAAATTTCTTCTACTGCATCTGAATATGAGAAACGTACGGTGCCGGTACTGCTTGAAGCAGAGACAACATGATGGACCAAATCCCAGCTTCCTGGTCTCCATCAAACCAGACAGACGGTTCGCGAATATTGGCCGTTGACGGCAGTCCTTCACCAAGGGGGCTCGATATATGTGCGGTAGAATTCCCTTGAGGCTTCACCGCCGCAGGTAGACTCTGGCCACCAAGTGGCACTAAACGCGCGACAAAGCTATAGGAGTAGATACGAGCTTGTTCACGCATCGGCAGCCGTTTCGATTGTCGGGTGGAAGCTTCGCGAATCAAAGAATGCACAAAGGAACCCTAAGCCAGGTTGCTTACCTGTAGCAACAGTATGGACACTTGCACATGCCAACAAAATTGACGAATCACTGCTCCTGACGGCCCAACATCCGCGGTGCGGCCGTCAAATGGGCCTCGGCTCCCATGTTGCTCAAAGCCAATACTCGACACTCACTTTCTCAGGGAATGCGTTTCGGGAAGATCCCAGCAGCACGACATCAGGCTGCTTAGGGTAGTTTGCATTTTGGACACCACCTTGAAGTTGAAGCCAAAAGCTTTCAACCCCCACTGCTTGCAGGTCGCGGCAGGTCTCGTCGGTCCGGACTCCTCAGCCGCAGGAGACGGGAGGATCCTACAATATCATAGTTTTGACCCATCCGCTGCAGGTGCCACGGCAGCAGGCCCTCCGAAATGCTACGAAACCTTTCCGGAGCGCACAAGGCCTAGCTTGGAGCCGAAGCGCCTTTGAGGCTCTCCTGCACGAAAGCGGGCACGCACAGACAAAGAGTAGCATGCACATGTGCAAATACTAATCAGTGAAAAAGGGACATGCCAGTCATCAAGTCGGAACGATGCCATACTTGGAGACCGCTCAATGATGACACTTGCCTGTATTGTCATATCAAGACAGTTCGTCGCTCCATGACAATGCTTGGCTGCAACATCAAAACGCTCATCATCATCATCATCATCAACATCATCATCAACATCTATTCCGGTCCGTTGTCTCCATGTTCCCCAAGCACCACAGAGCTAGTACCGTGTAATCACGAAGCATGCAGCAGCCGGTGGCAGCTCGATGGTGGTCATAATTCCGATGATGGCACTGGGAGTAAGGTGAAGTAGGGTTTCTATGAGTATGGCGATCGTCGACGTCATCGCACCAACGGCAGTAGTAGCCATTGGTTGGTGAGGGTAGCACGGCAGCTGCGGTGGCGGCGGCCAAAACAGAAGTGGCGCAGGTGCAGCAACAAGCGTTTTGTTGTTGGGTATAGAGGTTGGTCAGCATCTCCAGTGACTCCAGTGCCGAGCCTAGCGGCTCAGGCCAAAACCAGGCAACAAACCCTCAAGCTCTGCCACATGACTCAAACCACCAGCCCCAAGCTCTGGCATCGCGATTGGAGGAAGTGCTGCAACGACTAACTGCTCCATGTTGTTTCCGTTCTTGCTGTCCTTGCCAAAGATTACTGCCTCTGCAAGCCCATGCACAAGGCCTCACCAGCAAGTTCCGCACACAACAAGTTCGATCTCCTGTGGGGCCTCATGCTGCCGGCGTCAGAAGCACCCACCCTTTGGGTCAGCGATGTGGCGCTGGCAGCACTGCGTGGCCTGGATCAGAAAATACTATAAAGGCAGGACATATTCATACTCTCCCCTTAAACGGAAGACTACTGTATACTCGATATGAAAGCAAGATGAGATGCAACCCAAACAAAGATCTGCTCCTCCGCGGCATGCTGCGGGGTAGGTGCGACTAGAATAGTAGTAAAGGTAGATAGTTCGGCTCCGAATCCTGGCCTGCAGTGTGCAGGCCGACCTGTCCGCTTGAGAGCTGCGCAGGGCTCCTTAACCGAATCTCATCGATCTGAATCTACAGATTTGGCAGTCGGCCGCGGGGGGTTTCAAGGAAAATGCATCCCAGAGGCGGCATGCAGTGTAGCGTACTGCTCCTCATCTCTCAATTTGCCAGGTGCCATGTCATGCAATGCAATTTGCTGCCGCGAAAGTCCAAGTGTGATCCCGCACTGCGCGAACGCAGGTAACACATTCGCCAGGTCATGCCAAGTTGCCATCATCTGCCGTGTCACCTCCTGGCGAGTCTTGGTATCGATGATGTGGCCTCGAGCGAGCGCGGAGTTCTGCCCACATGGACAAGCCTCAAGCTTACCAGCTCACATGGTGCCATGAGCAGTCAAGGCGCTGGTGTCGTGCCAGATCTTCCTCAAGTCGCACATGCCTCGCGCAGGCTGCGTCGCAACAGCAATTCAAGACTTCAGGTTGCAGATCAATGAAATAGAATCAATAGAACTCAACATGCACAGCGCCTGTCTATCTTCAGACAAGCCACCGCCACACATTCCATGATGCCACCAGGCCTTATTCGAGAAGTAGTCGTAGACACACACGGCAAAGGCATGGTATGGCGCTGCCCATTTTAAAAGCTGCTCCTCCATTTAACGGTATCAGCCTCCACAACATCGACCAAGAACAAAAACAATAACACGAACTAGACGAAGCATTGCCACCACCACCACCAGCACCACCACCACCATCACCACCACCACAACTACAACGGAAACCTGGACGACAACTACCAACAACCACTACTATGTCGACGACTAAAATCTACTGCTGCTGCTGCTCCTACTACTACCACTGCTACTGACTACAAAAGGTCACGGCCACCACGACCGTTTATTTGCACTATTACCATTGCTACTACGAAACTGCTGCTTCCACGATCGCAACTAACTCCACTACTACTCGTAGCACCACCACCACCACCACCACCACCACCACCACCACCACTCCTACCCATACAGCAATTCTACATTGACGACTGCTGCGATAAGGAGGAGAAGGGAAGCACTGGATCTGGCAAAAATATGCGTTATCAGGATGCCGAAACTTTTTTTTGGTGGAAGCGAGTTTCAGTACAATTATCGCAAAAATATGATGCCGATCCTCCCGTGAGGATGAAGGTGACGGGGATGTTGGTGAGGGTGCAAGCCACAACACAGATGACGAAGCGGTGATGATGATGGTGATGATGACGATAATGATGATAAACCGCACACTGGTTCGCTTCCAGCAGGCAATACCAGCAATCCCCATTCACCCCAGCAAACTTAAGAGCGACTCCACTCTACAGCCAGCCAGAGCAAAGGCTCATAATTACTGCATCAGACTCAATCAGGCCTGAATATCCCAGCAATGACCCCGAAGCGTGCCAGGCAGCTTCCTAGACTAAAAATACAAAGTGCCATGGCACGCTTGAGCTGCCCGGAACACCCGTGTCAATGCTGTGGGTCGCATTGATTGCTGGATTGTACAGCACATAGTCAGAGCGGCCTGGCCAACACTCCGCCACCGTGGCTAAACCCAAGTCTGCCGTCACCAACACAACAACCAAGCAAACGACAGCCAACGACGACTCCGAGTACAACTGATAACTGATAACTCTGATGCCGCGAGTTTACAACCATTAAAGAACGAACCAACGCACGACAGTAATGTCTAGTCGGACGACCACTTCTGCTACCACTCCTGCTGCTGCTTCTGATCGCGATCTACCCTTGCCACCTGTTGCTGCCGCTGCTACTGCTTGCCTCCTGCTCCTACTCCTACTCCCACGCTCCTGCTCCTGCTCCTCCCCCTGCTCCTGCTCCTACCCTACTCCCTGCTGCTGCCGATCTCACTGCTGCTTCAACTACTGCTTACTTGTCTTGTCCCCTCCTGTCCTTGCTCTCACTGCTATTACTCAGTCACGAGCGAGCTCTGAACCAGGTCGCCTGGAGCCACCCACGGTTTTCGCGGCTGCCCCCAATCAGCGTCCGGGGCCCTGAGACAGAAGGTCTCCGGCAGCAGGCAATCAGTCAAGGTCAGCAATGCGACTGTGACGATGCAACGTCTGAGTAATGCAAAGTAGCATAGCGGCGCCATTGCATGAGGAATATTATCGAGCATGCCGGGGTGGAGAGCATTCTAGCTCGAATCTCGGGAAGCGCCTGTGGCAGGGTGGATTGCTCTTGGCATCGTCAGAGCGCAGCTTGGCCGCAGAGTATGACTTGTTTGCAGCATCTCCGGGGGTCTGTTTTGGCCTTCGGTCCACCTCGCAGGAGGCCAACCTAATTCGCTTTCGCCGCTTTGGTAAGCAATACCAACGTCGATTGATGGAAAGTGCTGCATGTTTGCAGAACATGAAGGTGGCACGCGCCCGTTCCCCTCTACACCGATAGACTACCACATGAAGGTACCTCGCAACATGTCGCGGCTCAACAGACCGCGCCCTCCACAATGGCAACACAGTTGCAACCCACTGCTTCACAAATTTGGTGATACATCCTTCGCTCTGCACCCAGGCTTGTCAAGCTGTTGCCTGGTCGGTGTAGCAGCCCTGAGGCTGCCGGTGCTGCGGCATCGACGCATGGAAGCCATGGTGTGGGTGTAAATTTAGGGATTGAGAGTAAGCTCAAGTAGGTGGGCCAAGGCTCAGCACTTGCCATAACTCAGTGACGAAATGAATTTTGAAGTTGGGCCTTTGGAAGGTCCTGACGGAAACACTGCCTCTTTGTCAGATCGAGAATTTACGTAGAACTTCATGACTCGCTACCTCTTGCAATTACTTTTCGACGTTTCTGGATGTCAGAGGCTCTGCGCGATCACGCACAAGGAAGTTTTTTGTTATGGTCAGGCTCGGAGCCATACGGATCAGTCAAACAACTCAAAACTTTTGGCACATCTCGCAGTCGTGCCGCCACGTCGACTGAACTGTTGAGCGAGTTCCACTTGGCCGAGGAAGCAAAAGCTGAAACTGTTTCGGCGTGGGTGTTCCATCGTCTGCAGCTGTCCGCCCCAGGCACCGTGGCTCCGCTAGGTAGGGGCTTGTCCTCCTTCTCCAAAACCTTCTTGACCTGCATGTAGATGCGAGGGGCATTTCTGACATGGTTACGAACATAACTCCGTAGCATAGCCAATGTCGACGCTTCTACGAAACGGATACATTTCTCCCGCCGCTCGAAATCGAAGCTGCGGTCCATGAAAATGCGGCTGAAGTGCTGTGCCTCTTCAGAGATGTTTTTGGGCTTCACACGTAGTTCTGAAAGCAATCCCTCTTTGCACGTCTCAAACTCCTCATCTGTCATCGCCTCTTCCAGAAAAGCAAAATGTTCATCAAGGAACTTCTCTAAGCAGCCTCTGACATAGTGCAGGTTGAACTCTGTCTGAACAACCGCAACCAAGCAGGGTTGCAAGACCTTCACAGAGGCAAACATGTTCACAATGTATCCCAGCTGCTGCTGCGTGCGAAGCAAATCAAAAAACTTAGACGAGATGGCTTTGTCTAGGAGGTAGGTCAACATCTCGTTCTCTAAGCCACTCGGCAGCTGCAGCTTCATGAACACGGCATGGTTGGGGTCTTCGGCGTCTGTGCTGTCGAGCTCCCAGAGGGTGGATCCCTCAGGGAGTGATGCCTCGGCTCGCGTCGGGAGCACGGTGAGGGCCTTGCGAAGATTGAGTCCCGTCATCAGCTTCGAGGCCAAGAGTCGTGCGTCTTCGGCCGTGAGATTGCCCAGCATCAGGGACTCCACATGAGCACCAGCTACGAAGAACTGCTCTGCCAGCCCCTTCAAGTCGCCGCATGTGATTTTCTCGAAGGCCTCCAAACGCTGGTAAGCTGGAAAGGATGTCCCACGCATAAGAAGCTCGTTCAATCGCATGCTGCACTGCCCATAAGGAGGCGAATGGAACGCTTGGTTTCTGAGGTCGTCGCCCATTCTGTTGGCCACAATGGAGAAAATCTGCTCTGGAATCTCCACCAAGGAGACCATCTTCTCTGTAACGGCATCGAGGAGCACATGCAGCTTGTCGTTGTAGCCGGCCAATACCAGCCGGAGACATGCAGGGCCCAAGCCAAGTGAGTACTCCACTCCCGCAACCTCTGCATCATAAGCATACTCCTGCAGGGCCTCCTCAACACATCGACACCAGAGCTCGGCCTTTGTATAATTCACCGGATCTTGCGTGAAGAATGGGGAGTAGATGGAGAAGCTCACTCGTGCCTTGGGCTGCTTAAAGGTGCCATCCTGCTTGTGAAAGACGCAAGTCATGGACTCGGTGCCTTTCAGGAGGCTGGGTTTGGCCTTCGGCTCCTGCGGCGGAGCCTTCAGTGAGAGATCCTCCGGAATGAAGGGATTTGGCTTCGGCAGGCTCAAACCCAACTCACTGGTGATCTTTGTCGATGCCTCTATCGTGCCGCTGGCATTCATGGCAGCTCGCCAGGATTCGAGCCACAGATCTTCGATGGGGAGCAGCTGCATGGGAGAGCCATAGGAAGTATCCACTTGCGTACAGCGATCGGCCAATTTCTTGGCTTGCACTTGGACTCGGACGCTTTCCAAAGTGAGCTTGGAGAGCAGGGACTTAATGGCATCCGGGTCATACTCATAGAGCACCATGTCGCCACACAGCGCTTCCGATGGTGGCACCTTCTGCATGGTCGACGCAATCTGCGGGCACAGCGCAAAGGGCGAGGCATCCTCCCCAAACTTAAAGCGAATGTCGCCGAGCTTCTGCATCTCATCGAAAATCCACTTTTCTGGAGGCATCTTCTGCAACAAGCCGAGGTAGGCGAAGAGGTGTTGCCCAATCTCCTGGATGCAGTCCAAGCCTCTGTCTGTAAGATCGAAGTTCACTTGAAGCAAGCTAAATGCTCCTTCTAGCCAATCGCCATTCCCGACGCTACATCCAGAGATCAGCCCCTGCTGCTTCAGTTTCGCGATGACTGAGCCCGCACCCTCATGGCCTAGCAGGTGAGAAATATAGAGCGATGGCTTGGACTTCCAAAATGGGTCCTGGAAGGGCGTGACCCAAATGAACGACAAATCCTTGACATCCTGCACTGGATTCTGGAGCAGCTGCTGGTGCCACTCATTCGGCAGAAATGGTGGCTTGTCACTCACAGTGTCTCCGATGGGCATAGTCAGACCCTTGTTCACTACAGTTCCAAACTTTTCGGCCACGATCTTTCGAAGCTCGTCTGGTGCCTCCCTGCCAAACACACAAACCGTCATACCATTGGCGGAGTAGGTTGACTCATACAGCTTCTTCATCTCTTCGTAGAGGTCGATTCCACGCTCCTTTGGCTCGTGCAGAAGCACCTTGTTGTTCCCCACAGCCACATGAAAGGGGTGGTCAGGGTTCGCGCTCATGTTCATGATCCCCACGTAGCGCCACCAGGGCGAGGTCTGGCCTGCCTGGAACTCGGAGTCGACGGCATTGATCTCTCGCTCCGTACAGTCTCGGGTCAGGAGTGGCTCGATGAAAAAGCGACTGAAGCGGTCCAAAGCCTCCTCCAAGCACTCCGGCTTCACCTCGAACATGTAGCAAGTAAAGTAACAAGCTGTGTATGCATTGGCCATCCCGCCGTTCTGGTTCATGAACTCATGGTACTCACCCTCTTTGGGATACTTCGACGTTCCCGTGAAGAGCATGTGCTCCAGAAAGTGAGCGAGCCCTGGTAAGTCCTTCCTCTCGTGGCACATCCCCACATTGACAACAAGAGCAGCTCCTGCTTTGTCACATTCAGGATCAGATCCGATGACGGCTCTCAGCTTGTTGTCCAACTCCAAAAAACTGTACTCGCGCTTGTGCGTGTCCGGCTTTTTAACGACGACAGGCGGCTGACTCGTACCGTATCCAGCCCTGGTCTGCGAGGCCATGACTGCCTCTAGTCTTCTTGTGCTGCAGGCTAGGCGGCGGTCCGGTCGGCGTTGCTTCTCTTCCGAAATCCTGATGCTGCAAGCCGCCAGCAGGGGCATGCCGCGGAAAAATCGCGACAATTGCATGGTTCTCTGTTCCGTGGAGACCAGTTTACTACTTTGGCAACTACTGCTACAAGAGGTTGGCTCCTGGGCACTGGCTTGATGCCTAGCCGGCCTAACCCCTCTCCAACGCTCAATGTACAAACCATACGGCTAACATGCTGCTTCTTGTCGTGTGATACGAACATGCCACCAGCACAAGGCCGAACCGCGGACACTCCATCAGTGCGGCAGATGTGGACTAGTTCTGCACTACGTGCTAAGGCGAAGCAGTGCCTTCAGTGATAATGCAATCCAAGAACTCTCTCACTACTGTAGTAGCCAGGCTGAATCGTGGCCGGTCATTACAACAACAGCAACAAGCGTCTGGAAAGTGGTGGTCCCTATCGTCATCGGCGCAACCATAACAACGAATATCCTTGTTTCTTGTTCTGGTTGCATACTGTGAGCACAGCTGTGACCTGCAATTTACACCTTTTGCTGGAAGCACGCAGACAGCTGGTGCTGTAGGCGATACTCGGATGGTGACATCCCAGTCGAGGCTGTGCTTCCAGTTTGCTGCAGGATTTGGGTGGGTTCTACCGACTTGTTTCGCGGCCGCAAGGGATTGGGGCGCAGGGTCTGGCTTGCAAGCACATAGGCTTTTGAGCTGGTCTGTCTTTAGGCAACCACTGCCTGATGCCGGTCTCAGTCCCGTCTCGACCTGAGCTGACAGTTCCAACTTGCTCCAAAGCGACACAACAAATCAATCTTTCCTTTTGACTCTTTCCACGAGAAGGTGGCTTGCCTTGTGGCCTCAGCGTCGTATGAACCGCTTCTCCGTCTTCAAGTCGCTCACCTTAAGAAACAAAGACAGCTCCAGCCAGGTACCAGAGCTGGAGCAAAGCCCTTATGAATCGTGGATGAAGAAATAGCCTTGACAAGGTGTGTGCGCTAGGCTGCTGACGAATTTGAAGGCAAGGCTTTGGTGTCCAAACAGAAGCGCCGACCGAAGAGGGCTACCAATCAATGGGACGATGCATGTATACACAGGAATATAGATAGAGATCTAGGAATAGATATAGATGTAGATATGAGTGGTAGATGAGTATGCACATTAGTCATTGCTAAAACAGCGCAATACGCATGAGAGTTAATAAACAGATAGACAGCTTGGAAGGAGCTGTGCACACATTTCTTCAATCTCGAAGCCTGATGAAGCCTGTTGTTCGAGCTGGGCTCTCTCCTGTGCCAGCAGTCGGCCCTAAACCTCATCAAGTAGCCTGAGGCCAGTGCAATGCGCGTAATCTCCGCCAGCTCTTCCGGGCCATGTGCAAACGGACAGGCTGTGCCGCGGGTGCCTGGGCACAAGAGGTCAGTGGACCAGAGCCAAAACCGAAGAAAACGTGACAGGACATGAACTTCGGGATGGCCGCATCAGGATTCTAGGCCACTCTGGGACCGCGGCACTGCCCTTTCTGGAAGTAGTGGCCTCCGGACAGAAGTTGCGCTTTTCGAACCCTTTTCCATGCACGAGAAAGAGGAAGATGAGCCGATAAGAACCAGCTATTTACAACGAAGAGACCCGCAACCCGGAATCCAAGCTCCCGAAACTTGACCTCCTCTTTCTGTCGAGTCTGTGCTCTGCAGCCAAGCCGCATTGTTCCGCGCGCTTTTTGTGGAGCGGCCTATATGAGTCTCTCGAGTCTAGAATTCTGGGTGGGATGAGGTCGGATTGCGAGCTATTCTGTTTGACCTTCGCTTGGAACTACTCGTATTAACCAAGTGCACCACTATACGTACACAGAGGCATAGAGCACGCACCCTTACTAAAAATCCGAGGTCTTCTCTCTGTGGCTCTGTGGAGGTATGCTACCGCATCTGTCTTTGCACATGATGATTGCTGCTTGTGCAGTGAAGCGAACCTGTTCACGAGACGAGGAACTCGCAGGTGGCTTGCGGCTTCGGGAACCCCGAGCCGTGTGGCGGTTCTGGCAACTACGAGGAAGGAAAGCCTATTCAACTTTGACGGCATTTTTTATATAGTCGGGTTTCGACTCGCGAACTCGCTCAGTGCAGGCACGACATAGTCGGGTTTGGGTTGTAGGGCTTCCCGTGGCACGCTGCACATCTCACGGCGACTGTCCGACACCCCTCAGTTCGTGGCCGAGGTTGCAGGTCCTGTATGTCGTGGGAGAACTCGCAGATGGTCTGCCAAGGGAGAATTTGGGCTTTCAGATGCGGAATGCGCACAATATTCCAAAGCGTGCCCCGAATCTTCCATTCACTAAAGATCTGGCTCTGCATCAGGTAGACTCGTAGACATCTCAGGAGTCAGCTTAGCTTAGCGTTCCAAGTGTGTCATATTTCAGTCGCACCCTGCGTCTTGAACAGGCCCCAGCCTTTCTGCACTGGCCCAGTAGGAACCATTTGCATGGGACCTGGAAGCTTTTTGCTTCGGGGCTGCATTGCCCCAGCACCACAGCAGCAACAGCAGCGACGACGAGGAGGACAACTGCAGCAGAACATAAATATCAACAGAAGCCTCCGTCTCATCCCATCCGTGCCCGACCTTGGACTTCGCGCTCTGCCCCGACATTTTGTTCACCAGATCCGTGGCCTGTGCGCGCCGCGAAGTGGACACCAAGATCAGATCACCAGCTTACAAGCAAGATCTCCCCGACTCCCGGCTGTCGAGGCTTTGCTCGGGTTGCTTGAGGCAGTTCTGGATCGTTACCTCGTTGCCCCTCCGAGAGATGACCCCTAAGCCATGTAAATCGAGATATCCCGGTTAGCAGGATTGATCTAGCCGCGGCGGCATCGCACGCTTGCATCTACTGACCACCTGTGCTACAATGCGCCAGCACTTGATCGGGTACCTCGAAAGGGTGCCCAACGTCGAACTGCCAGTCAAACCCCAAACCGCCAAGCCCCCAAAATCCAATACCCTAGCCTCCGCCCCCCACCATCTCCAAACCCTCAGAAGGCTGCCCCGAGGTCCCAGAGTACGCCTGAAGCCGGCAGTTTATTGCTGCCTGCTCCGCGGCCTGTGGGCTTTTTCTCTTCGATCATGCAGGGACACCACCACATGAAGTTCTTGGTTCGAAGCTTCGGTCCGCAAGAACCCCACTACAAGCAGAACATGCCGTTACGCGGTTCTATCTGGATATCTGGCCCTATTACTTGCCTGTTCGATGAATGCAAGCTTTCGGAGATCGAGCATTCGCTACAACATTCGCTGTATCCCAAAATGGTTGCACCAAATAGCCACACTAAATGAACCTCTCCAGCTAGAATTTCCAATGCTTTGCACGTAGTCTAGAGCGGCACAGGAGCCGGCGCCATAAATGAAGCAGATGACTTCAGGCCAAAACCCTGAACCTTTGCCTACCCCAAGGGCTTGGGCTGGATGAAGGCTTTCGGATTCGTTTGTTGATCCCTGAACCCATTAAGCAAGATGCTTAAACTCCGGATGCTTTTGCCTCGGAAGCCTGGAACGTGACTGTCCTGAGGCTAGTGGTCCAGTCGTCCTGGCGGCTGCACATCACGCGGTCTGAGAGAGAAGCTGCAAGTGAAAGGGGGGCGGGGGGCTCTCGGATTTAGGCTGCGCCAGGCGAAGTGGAACGGAGCTACTTCCCATTGTCTTCATTCAGGAAACGTGGTAAAGAAGCATGCGATCGGCTTCCGCAAATGCTCGCCCTGGTTTGACGACATAGGATTTGTCGGAAAACATGGGACCCTGATAAGGCCATGATACAAGCGTGCAGAGCATCTCGGCTCCTCGGGCGGTTGTCCGGGAAACGGCTCTGGAAAGCAAGTCGCAAGAGTGCTCGAAGCCTCATGCGTACGGGTTTGGACTCTTCCAACACTCCAACGGGGCGACCTACAAGCGCCACTAAGTCTGCTGCTTGCGAAACGTTTCTATAGGGTTTGGGGGTTTCGATTCTCGCAGACAGCACAATCCGGGGTGACGTGGCTGAGCAACGATATGGTGAGGACAAAAGCTGGGAAATGAAGTACAGACTCGGACGCAAATTGGAAAAATAGATTTGGGGATGCATGGCGGTGTGCTCCCAAGATCCATGCTGCATACTTCTGTCAGAAGGGTCGAGAAGCAATGAATGAAATAAAAAGCAAGGGTCATTGCAGACACGCGCTGGTAACAGCATGGAAATCGGGAACTGACTACCCTGAGTGCCGTTTAATCTGACCAGAAGCCATAAACAACGAATCTGACGCTTGCCCTAGAGTCTCTAGAAAAGGGAGCTGGAACGAGTATATCCAGAAGGCCACTCGACACAAAACCCTCCAAATTCCGACCCGACCTTAAACCTTTCCGGAAGCCCTGGGCGGAGAACCTGATATCATGACATACGGTACAACCAAACATACTTTCCATCTAATGTATAAACATGTGCTTTAACCCATCTAATCTAATCGGAAAATCATACAAGACCCGATATCAGATTATAAAATGTACAAAATAACAGTTTACCTTTTCCTGAGACCGCAACCCAGGAAGCTCTCGCGGCCTGGAGCAACAGGAGATTCACACAGAATCACAGTCGTCACAAAAACAGGCTCTAGTGGGAATAGCGCCAACAAAGGTTGATGCCACGCATTGTCATGACGACGACTACTTCCACTTCCACTAAGACTACCAGTTGCTGCTGCCACGGCGACGGTCACTACCACCACTACGACTACGACTGCGGCCGCGACCAGGACTAGGACTGCAACTG